GGGTGGTGAGACTGCTGCCCGTGAAGGTGTTGACCCCCCTAACCGTGTCCCGTGTCCCTGTCTCTAACAGCATGGAAACCCACACGTGGCTTCGCTCCGCTCGCGCGTCTCTTCTGCGCCGCACGTCCACCACGGTCCCGGCCACTGTCCGCCCGGCAGCGCGTGGCCGCCGGCTGGACACGTCCCCTGCCACTTTCTGCCTCCTGGCCCAAGTCCCGGCTCGTGCTGCCTTGTGAGAGGGCACAATTTGGCAAAGCCAAACTGAGCTCTGGACCCATCAGCCTCTCAGCTGTGGTGCAGAGAGGAGGGGATATGCGGGTGTCCATGGGCTTGCTGTTTTTGTTTCTTCTGTGTAGCCCAGCTTTCATGGTAGTGTCTCCATGCACTGATCTCTGTCCTTTAAGTTTTTTTTTAATATATGTATTTTTTTCTCTCCCAATGCAGTTGAAAACTCAGCTAGAGCAAAATGAAGCCCAGGTGGAGAAGGAGCAGGTGCTGAGGCAGAAGCTGGCGCTGGAGCTGGAAGAAGTAAGTCTGGGATGGGGTGAGGAGGGCACAGAATTTAGGGCCAGGCTGGATCTGCAGTCCCTGCTCTGGTGTGGGGCATCCCACAGTTTTACCCCCAATCCAAATGCAAAGAAGGGTCAACTTTTTGGCTTCTAATGGAACCCAAGAAGAGTTTTTTTTCGCCCTTGCTACCTTCATCTGAGACTTCGCCACGCTTTGCCTCATTTCCCTGGAGCAAAGGAAACTTCTTATGATGGTAGTGCCAAAGCTACTGTGCAAATACAGACACTGTGTCCATTGCTGGACCCTGAGGGTGCCCCTTTCCCAGTGGGAGATCCTGACTGCCACGAGCCATTAAACGAGCACCTTTCCCTCTTCCAGGCTCAAAACTCGGCATGCCATTTGCAAGCAGAGCTGGAAAAGCTGAGACTGGCTGAAAACATAGCAGCATCGGACCCGGAGGAGGCCCAGCATCTCAAGGTGACTTGGCTGCCCTGGTTTCTTGTGCTTGGTGTCAAGGCAAGGCAGCAAAGGGCTGCACACGTGGTCCATCTTTGCTGGGAACTACGTGGATGGTTCCCATGCATGTAGCTCCAGGCCTCAGTGCGAGCCTCAGCGTGGTTGAAGGGTGAAGCAGGGTGGAAGTCATGGTCCTAGGTCCGAGTTGGCTGAGATGAGAAAGGAAGGGGGATGATGCCCCAAGCTGGCTGCTTTAGCAAGCAGTCTTGCTAGGGATGTTGCCCAGTCTTGGGCCCAGTCATGTATTGGGAAATACATGTTCTGTTCTTGTGAGGCTGCCCTAGCCCAGGCACCTCCTGGGTTTGTGCAGGGAGCGGGATGTGCCTTCAGCTCTTGGTCACCAAGACTGCTCAGTACCACCCCAATGGGATGGGGTGGGGGAAATCCTGTGTCAGCTGCAAACAGGGCAGGCTCATGTGGATGGCTTCTTTCTACTGCTCTGTTTTAGGAAAGACTTGAAAAAGAAAAAAAATTAACAAAGGACTTGGGCCGGGCAGCAACCAAACTACAAGAGCTACTGAAGGCTACCCAGGACCAACTGGCTAAAGAGAGGGAAACGGTGAAGAAATTGAAAGAACAGCTGCAGGAAACGGTATTTGTTCTAGGAGCTGGGTCTGGGGACTGAGCCCTTGGCTGGGGTGGCATCTAGAGCTAGATGAGGTGGCCAGATGGTCCCCATGAGCATCTGGCCATGGCTGGGCAGGAGAACAGCTCAGACCTTTGTGGCTGGGAAAGCTCAGCGTTCGAGTGAGCTCTTGCTGGGCAAGCTCTGGGGATGGAGCTGACCTCCACCATGCTGGAGGCTCCATCCTTCATCTTGACACCAGTGGAGGCCACAAGGAAACACATGTCCCACAGATGTCCCAAAGCAGAGGCAATGTGGTGCTTACTGTGAGCAATCGTCTTGGTGGCTCTGGGCAACCCACGGGACTCTGCTGGGAGGGGGTTGTCACCATTTGGATTGTCTGGAAGGGAAGGTCCATAAAACGTTCTGCTACTTAAGCTGCTCTGAAGGTTAAGAAGTTAGACCCTGTTGAGTGACTCATCTCTCTGCTTTTATTTTCCAGGGGGAAGAGGACGGTTCAAAGGAAGGGACTTCAGTTTGATCACTCTGTGACCTAGACCTTACTGTTCAACTTACCAAAATGCCTTACACATTCCTAAAATTAAAAAATATATATATATGCTCAATTTACTGTAGATAAAAGATACAAGCCATTAGTGACTCAAAACCTAATTTTTGAAACCTTAAAAAAAATACCAGTAAACACTGCAGGTATATGTTTGTAAAGAAAAAAATACTTTCATACTGTTTTGTACAACTATTCCCCAGGAAGCCACTGCGACTGTGTCGGGGTGGCTGCTGGGGTTCGACCCTCCTGTAGCAGCAGAATCCATGAATGTGTGAAAGACAGAAGACTGTATTTGTATGTCAATTGGTGCAATTTTTTTTTTTTTGAGGGGGGGGAGTGAAAGAAGTGTGAAAGGCCCATGACAATGTAATGGAAGGAAGCGTCTCTCTGTTGGGGGCCGCTCTTGGCACGTATCCCTTTGCGTTATTTCTGGGTGTTGACGCAATTAAACCAACGTTGTAGTAAAAGGAGCTCGTCCTAGCTTTATTCCTCAGGACTCGTTTTCTTATGGGTTTGCTTGCATTAAGCTTCCAGGGGATGCAGGTGCTGGGGGGCTCTGAAGGGCCTCCCCAGCTGGGCCGGAAGGTGAATCCTCCGTTGTTCTCACATTGCCTCCTGGAGGAAGGGAGCAGCTTGCACGGCGAAGTGAGCCCAGGGCAGGGGAGCTTCATAGAATCATAGAATGCTTAGGGTTGGAAGGGACCTCTAGAGATCATCTAGTCCAACCCCCCTGCATATGCAGGATCACCTAGAGCACGTGGCACAGGACTGCGTCCAAGCGAGTTTTTAAGTTCTCCAGAGAAGGAGACTCCACAACCTCTCTGGGCAGCCTGTTCCAGTGCTCTGTCACCCTCATTGTTAAGAAATTTTTCCTTAAGTTCCTGTGGAACTTTTGATGCTTCAGTTTCCGGCCATTTCCTCCAGTCCTATCAGTGGCCACCACTGAAAAGAGACCAGCACCATCCTCCTCACTGCCTCCCTTGAGGTACTTCTAGACACTGCTCAGGTCCCCTCCCAGCCTTCTCTTCTCCAGCTGAACAGGCCCAGCTCCCTCAGCCTCTCCTCACAGGGCAGATGTTCCAGGCCCCT